CGTCAGGAAGTTTAAATGGGACCACGGGGAAACAACTAATGACAAGAGGCTAGAACGATGTTGACAGGTCATTTAGCTGTAGAAAGGCAAGCAGATCGCAGACTTCATTGCAAACGGGCAGTAACCTCTGGAGTGCTGAGTTGTGAAGAATCCTGAGACCAAGGCTCGTGTTGGTTTAGAAGCGGTACGGCGTGATGAGTGATGCCTGCTTTTTTGAATGGTTTACACAGACCACGTACCTAATATTCCCGACTAGCTCTTCCTCTTGCCTCCACAGCAGTCTACATTCAAATCATCTTAGAAAGATGAGATGCTATTCTATTTTTAAGAGGCTTAAAGAAGACACTATATAAACTTCTTTCAGAAATGCAAAGATCGTTACTTCAAATAAATTCTCCTTGCATGACCTGAGACCTTGTTGCTTTGATGTAAAGTCCTTTGCTTTGGAATTGGCCACCATGTGTGTCTAAGGTCACGACTTTGGACTGTCTCCTCCCTCTGACTATCGGCTCCACCCATCCAGGGCTTCCTCCTTTCCTTGACGTCCTCTTCCCCACCTTTGTCACCCCTGCTGGCAAACGGGGGTCTTCAGACTGAGACAGAGAGAGCCTCAAGGACACAGTGGGTGATGGAGAATCTGGGTTCTTGTCTTGGTTCTGCCACCGGATCCCTCTGGGGACTTTTTTGCTTTACTTTTTGGAGCCCGATTTTCCTCATCTGTCAAAGAAGGTGGGATTTAGCCTGCGCACGAGGACTGGCCTGAGATTATAGTTTATATAATCAGGGAAGAGGGAGGGTTGACATCTCTTATCGGAGTCTCAAAAGGGGCCATAATTCCCAGGCTGTTGAGAGTCACAGGCCTCTCTAGGTGACTTCTAATACTCTTTCAATTTGAAATTTGTACATGAAGATCCATTCCCTTGTAATGGTTAGCTGAGCATCATGGTCTCAGGTGGGAGATGTGGCAAAGCATTCTCAAATGGCAACTTTCACTTCTTCCAGAAAATGGACCCGTATTACTATTAATGGTCCCATATTAATCAGGTTTTAGAGGATGACGAAAGTAGACCAAAAATGCCTAAGGAAGAGGAAGCAGGGCTGTTGTTCAAAATACCCTGACACCCCATGAGTTATGAAAAAGGAAGTGTTGCTGTAAAAGATTTCTTTGTCTTTTCATGGCTTTAAATCTAAGGCTCTGGTCCCCTGGGAGAAGTGGCAGCAGGTCCTGTCCCAGCCACGGTCGACAGCCACCTGCTACAGTCAAGGTTACAGAATGTTGGGCTGCTGTAGCGAAAACAGTTTAGCTACATTCACCAAATGTGGTTGCTGTCGATTAGATGAAACATATTAGATGTGTGTGTAAGAGAACAGAAAATTGTCTGGAAAGGTAACAGAGTGACCCTTCTTCTGGGAGAAGGGATGTGGATGGGTGAAACTTGGTTTTACTAACTGTATTAGTTTCCCAAGGCTCCTGTAACAAATTTTCACCAACTGGGGGGCTGAAAACAACAGGAATTTATTGTCTCAGAGTTCTGGACCCTAGGAGTCCAAAATCAAGGAGTCGGCAGGGCCGTGCTCCCTCTGTGGGCTCTAGGGAGAAATCCTTCTTTGCTTCTTTCCATTTCTGGTGGTCCCGGGGTGTTCCTCGGCTTGTGGCAGCATCACTCCAATCTCTGCCTCTATTGTCACATGGTCTTCTTCCCTGTGCGTCTCTGTGTGTTCTCTCTTCGTAAAGGATGCCAGTCACTCAAAATCAAGGTGTCGGCAGGGCCGTGCTCCCTCTGTGGGCTCTAGGGAGAAATCCTTCTTTGCTTCTTTCCATTTCTGGTGGTCCCGGGGTGTTCCTCGGCTTGTGGCAGCATCACTCCAATCTCTGCCTCCATTGTCACATGGTCTTCTTCCCTGTGTGTCTCTGTGTGTTCTCTCTTCGTAAATGATGCCCGTCACGGGATGTAAGTCCCGCTCTAAATCAGGATGATTTCATCTGTGTTCACACTGAGACAGGGAGTCTCAAGGAGATGGTGGCTGGTGGAGAATCCGGGTTCTTGTCCTGGGTAGAGATCTCCAACTCAGTACATTTTCAAAGACTCTATTTTCAAAGAAGGTCACATCCTGAGGTTCCTGGTACATGGGAATTTTGTGGGACACTATTCAACCCACACCATGGTTCGAAGTTCTTTTTTTTTAATGAGGTTGCATTCATGCTTTACATAGAATATTAAGAAAATGAAACGAAACAACAAAAAATGGCGCTAAGGGAAACCATTATATATGTACGCACACACACGTCTGCTTCCGTTGGCTGCATTATAGGGAGGTGGTTGATGGGAAGAGAAGGGAATATAATAATAACACTGATAGAGTACTCACTATCTGCCAGACACTGTTTGTAGTGCTTTTTCTATATTAAATTACTTAATCCTCATAGCATCCTTATACAGTTGGTGATAACATCATTCCCACTTTACAGGTGAGAAAACTGAGGCACAGGAAGTTCAAGTGACTTGCTCCATCCTCCTCCAGGATGGGCATTCAGGCAGCCTGGCTCAGAAACTGTGCTGCTAACCGACCAGTTCAACTGCGTCTCCTTGTGCAGGTACTCGGAGGCCATCAGGGCCTGGTTAACGAACCTCGTCACCACTTCCTAAACACACACAGACAAACTTGTCACCACTTCCTAAATGCACACAGACACTCACACGCTTCCAGCCCCCAACAGAACAACACTAACTGAGCATGGAGCTTCTGTGTTTGGAGCGTTCGTCTGCAGAACCTCTTGAACTGAACGTTGTCAGATATTTACTTAAGAAAAATAAGTAACCAGTAGAACACAGTCGTTCACGGGCATGACGGCCGGCCTGGCAGACCACTGCGCTTTCAACCCGGAGGGCAGCATCGCTCTGGGCGAAGGGTAGCCGGATACCCAGAGGGGTTCCCTGGAAGCGGCTTCTTGCAAATGGCAGTTAAACCACGGTGGTTGACTTGGCACCTTACAAGTGACACACAGCACGTGAACTAAGAGGAATGATGGCTGAGCCTAGGGGACTTTCTCATTCAGGCCTTACCACGCCCGATGAATCATGAATGGCCCCAGGGCTGGGGTAGCGACTAACCAGAGCAGCAGGTCCTGTTTACCGTAAAGAGGGCCATGGGCTTCTTCCTGTAAACTTACCCCAGGGGCTCCCCTGCCACACCGCCCCCCACGCCTCCGCCCACCGCCCACCGTGAAGCTGCCTTTGCCCTATGGCTCTATGCACATTGAAGAAGGACAAATCTATATGGCAACAATGACTCAAATGAATATTTGAGACTTTTTCACTGCTCGGAGCTTGGTGTTGGTAACTTTTCAGGTAATTTCCCTCATCTAAATAACGTCCTGAGTGAAAACAGATCCTCATGTGCACAGCCTGAAAGCTCAGGGCGGGTGGGGGGGCAGGGGCAGGGGGCCATCCTCATAGAGCCGAAGCCTCTGGCCACACCAGCCCCGTTGTGTCCCTTGCTGTTCTGTGTTCTACTCCACCGGCTGGATCAAGACTGGGAACTCGTACATTCTGGCTTCTGTCAGG